TATCAAGAACATGCAAACCAACTTCGACGTAGTCAATGCCTCGCCTGGTACTTTCAGTAGACATGCTTTGATGGCTTGCAAATCGATCAACAGCTAACCCATGTTCTAATAAGCTTATGGGAAATGGAGGGCGATTGAGTGCTCACCTGTTCGGCACCAATCTCTAGCAGAGGTCGACTCTTAACCAATGCATTGGTGAACTTTGCCAATATCGCGCTGGAAAGCACAATTAACTATTAAGCGATGAACGATGCGTGTCTTATCGTACTTGGCCGCCTTGTCGAAGAAATTACGCAGGTACTTCTTCTGCTCAACGAGCGGCTTTACAATCTCCGTAACCTCGTCGATGGCTTTGACTAATGGTTCGACATAAGCGGACTGACCGCTGACATGCTTCACGGTGGCCCAAGGCGTTCGGGAGAGCATTGTGAGCGATGATTCGCAAGCCGAGTCCAGTTCACGAAGCATGACCATGATGGCGGCGGAAATCGCACTAGCAAGCAAAACATCAGAACCGAGCTCACGGGATGGACAGCTCCGATCCCCACCTAACAAAAAGATCACGTTCGTCCTGCAGAGTGATTCTTTCCTTGAAAGTTTCTTCGCACTTCTCGCGGATGTTCTCTTCGAGTTCGAGTGCCGTTGTTTGACAATAGTCCGCGGTGTTGATGAGCGTGCATGCGTTCTTCAGCTCGCTCACATCATAGCGGGCATCCATAGACCTCCGGCCGAAGGTAGAAGGCCTGGGTGATGCGTTAGCGATAGACTTCGTCGAGGAATGAGTCAATAATACTTCTTCATGCTCGCCACCAGCACTTCCTCTATCAAACGTTGCCGATCAATACGAGGACCCCCCTGCACGCACATGCAACATACCGGCATATATTCGTAGCCACTTTTTGAACAACCCACAAAGGTCATAGAGCGGTTGACCGGTGAATAACTTGGCACACTGTTCGAGCGTTTGCGCGTAGAAATAAAAGAGCTCAGTGGATGACGGGAGCACTAAGACCGGAGGTGCCGCGTCATCATCTCCTGAAGCACTAGTGGATGAAGTGGCCTCTAGTGACGAGCGCGACTTGGGACCTCGATACTGTCCGAGCATATCGGAAAGCACCCTGTAGAATGACGCGTCGGGAAACAACATATGCGAGCATGGTTATCATACGTACTTGTCTTGTGCGTCGACATAGACACCCATGTGCGGCTCGAACGCCGATGTAATTGGTTTCAATGGTCGAGTCGCACTAGCGGGTGTTGTCACTTTAAGGAGTTCCCGCAACTACGAAACATGAATCAATAGGTGCTCTAGTCCGGGGACGCGATCACCCTTACTGAGGTGCTGAATTTCCTGGTGATGGACGTCTCGAACTCCATGGTCTCCTGTAGAGTATCGAGCAGCTGCTTGACTGTAAGCTTCGAACCGGCTTTCGACAGGAGCGCGGTCATATCGTCCCTGCGAGTAAGGTAAGTATTGGTTGCTCGGGCGGACCTCGATAGGGTATATACCTTGTGATTTCTATGAATTTAGCCGTCAAGAACCATCCAACTTTCCACTCCGCTGGGAAGACTCTTCCTTGTTCCGTTTCGTGAGTGTGCAGCAGACGTCGGAACCACGCGAAACGACGTGAAAGATTGTCCAGCTGGCCGGCCTCATCCGTTGCGCGGAATATTCGTCGATACTCCTTAAGCTCCAGCGCAACATACCGCTCGACGAACTGGGTGCGGATGTCCGCACCTAAAACGTCAACCACCAAGCACGCGTCGGCCACCAAAGAAGGCTTGATGGGCTTTGCTGGGTCTTGAACATAGCTGTTTTTTTAAAGTCAGCCTTGCATGAGAGGAGGGCATAACGAGATGCACGGACAACTTGTCCCAGTCCGCATCTATCATGGTACGCAGTTCGGTCTGTATATCTTGTATACGCCTCCAGAGTTGGGATATTCGCTGGACAGACGTGTAAGGCTTGAACGAGGCGCCAATCTGTTTCACCGCCTGGGTAGAAGATAAGTGTTTACACAGCATAGGGTTGTAGCGTAAAGCTAACGTACTGCGAGAGACTGAACTATGTCGTGATACTTGCGTTCCTTGATTTGGTCCTCAAGCTGGCCTAGCATGTTCACTGTCGATTGCATCAGCTACCGTACAAGTATATACACCGGAAATAACACACCAAGCATTTGGAGCCTCTTTAATGTCGTCATGCTCAGGATGAGATTCTTCTTAGCCAAGTCTAGCACTTGAATCTCCTTGGTAATATTCCGCACGACGGCCTCCGACTCCGTAGCCTTCTCTCGTATGCGAGACATCTGACCTAATAGGTCCTGAAGGGACAGATTTTGGAGAACGGCTTCTTGAATTGGATGCCGCATAGCTGACAATCCTAAGCAGGTACTCACGGAAATCATCTCCTGTATGAGTTGCATTCTGCTAGGGTCCTGGTTCTGTCGGAGCTCTTCTCGCAGGGCATCAATCTCTTCTTGCAATGCTCGCTCACTCTCCGCAAGTCGCGTCTGAACGGCTTCGAGCTGCCCAAGCGCAGCCTCTACAGCACGCGGTAAGGAACTGAGAAATGCATATCACTCGCAATGCACATGGACGTACCGTCAGGGAAGTAGTCATTCAGCACACCAATCGGGTTGAATTCGTTTGTGAGTCGGTCAAGGGGATCCGCGTCTCCTTGGGCATGCCAGTCTAGAATACGCTCTATTGACGGTATAAGCTCGGTAGGCAGCTCATCCTCTCGCAGCCTATATGCGGGTACAGGCAAGCGGCTTGTTTCGACAGGCATAGTGAGGGCCTCGATAGTGGATGCTGGGCGTGGCAGTGTCGAAACTGCGGGTTCTGAGACCGACTCAAGGTGGCGGTAGGACAGAGCAAGAGCAGGCTTTGAGGCGCGTTCGGGCCGCTCGTGCTGTCGCGCAGCCGTGGCGATCGAAGTACGCGCCGTGGGCGTCTATAGAACCCCGCGCGACTGTGGCGGCATTTTCCTTTCTCAGAATTTCTTGCTCCCGTCCTCCATGACGCTTGGTCCCCCGCCCTCCGCCGCCGGGCCATCAGGTGATACGCCTCCCGCGCAGAGCCACGAAACAACCGCGAACTCCATCGCCAACGCACAATCAGCGTCGGCGACAGCGAGCTCTGCTTCTGCGCCCGGCCCGTCCATTTCGACCGGGCCCTTCACAAGCCAGTTCTCGGTGCAGTCATCCACAGCTCCGCGCGCGCACTATGCGCGGTCCGGGGCCATTTCTTACTCTTCTACATACATGCCGCCTCAGTCACAGTCAAGTAACCACCAGCAAGGTTCTCAAACGCCTGCCCCGGGCGGATATTACGCCGCTTCGCATGCGAACTACTATCCGCAACAACCTGCTTCTCAAAGCACCTCTCAGAATCAGGCAGGGGCATACCCGTACTACAACTACCCTCCGCACGCCTGGACGAACGCCTGGAATACTGGGTCTTACCAGTACGGCGCCGGGGGTAGCTATCCTTATACATACCCTCAGCCCCAGTCCTCTGCACAACTTTCTACATTGGCTCAACAAATAAAACAGGCGGCTTCCACACCCCCTCCGCCTCCTCCTAAGAAGAAAGCGCCCACCCCATCTCCTTCGCCACCCCCTCCACCAGAATACCACAAAGATTGGGACATGCTCGTTAAAACGTTTTTGTCTACTATTGGGTTTTCTCAAGCGGTCAGAGGGTTTGAAGCGGACATGTTGGTGTTAAATCACGAGTACGAACGCAAAAAAGTTCCCGCAGCGCTGGAAGAGCTCACGAAAGACCTTCTAGTATGTGCGTCGTTACATTGAATGTGGGCCGGCATTAAGGTGTCATACGCGTAGAAACTAAGTCAGAGCAACTCCGAAGGTGATGAGGGCCAAAAGTCGGAGCGGCCATTAGATGAACGCAAATTGGACTACGTGCATCTTGTCAATAATGCCACGCCTCGCTCGCAGACGTCAGTGAGTTCGCTTTGCTGCGCTCGACGGGATGTCAACTTATCACATTGTGATTGCAGCTCACGAAGGACATATCGCATTTCCTGGCACGCAATCGTGCAAGGAACGACGCATCCAACCGTAACGAGTTCCTGTTATCGTTAGCGGAGAAACGCAGACGATTAAATGAGAACGGTGACTCCGTTGCTTCGGAGCCCGCCCCGTCCTGCGCTCGCACAGACGCGAAGACACAAAACCGAGACTTGCAGATGAAGTACGACATCGCGAAAAATGAAGACGGTCCCCTTCGACGTACGCTGAAGAGTGAACCGGGAGACGCCAACTCCGGGACCTCAAGATCTACCACGCACGGCTCCGGTGATTCAACTGGGCTCACGAATGATTATCCGAGTGCCGAACGGTATCCTGCGTTGGATGAACGTCTTCAAAACGTTGAGAAACACTTGGCCATTCGCTATGGTCAGTGGACGTATACCTGCCTTCTAGTTCCCAACTTCTCAATATTGGACTCGTGACGTGCAGTACCATTGCCTCCACGATCCTTGCTGGATCGCCTGAAATACCTGGAAGATCACATCATACATCTTGAAAAGGAATACCCGCCATGGGCTGCTCTCCACTTCAACCAACCGAATCGAGGTGTAAGTACCCTCACTTCCAACCTATGGCTCCGACTCACCGCCAAAAAAGTGGCCACCACCACCCCGACCGACTCCCATAATTGTTCCCTCGCATCTCACTTCGACGACGGTCCCGCGCCTTCCATCAGCGGGCACTCCGTCGACGTCCTCAAGGGTGGCCCCTCCAGCGCTTTCTGGCGAAGCTGTAGACACCGCGTTGAAAGGGAAGGGGAAGGCGGGACGGCATACAAAATCCAGTTTGCATAGGGCTGTTATGGAGAGACTAGAGGTCCAGAAAGCAATAAATGACCTCACGGGAGGGGATGGAGGGTAAATAACTTCGCGACATTCAATCATTTTACACGTTCCACCATTTGAACACGCATATATTAGTCACAGGGTGATGCAATGCAACGCCCGCCTAGCTCAATCGGATAGAGCGTCAGACTCTTAGGCTTTACGGGTGATCTGAAGGCTGCGAGTTCGACCCTCGCGGTGGGCTAGTGTTTTTGTTCCGGTCCCTTGCCTGCCACACTGACTCTCGGAAGAGAATACCCTACGAGGCAGTCCCATTCATACGTCCAAGCTTGTATCGTTTGTGTCAGCACCGATGCCAGTCGGTCCCAGATCGCCTGGAGCTTGCAGCTTGGTTCGTGAAGGAGACACCGCCACCGTTCAATAACAAAGTTGCCTATTGTGGAAACACGTGGATAGATCGATTGCTGGAAGACGGAGGACTATTGAAATAGTAACCGCCCGCCCTCGCGCAGGCTGCCCCGCTCTTTACCCTCGACGGCCATCTTCTTGACACTTCCCCGCACATCCGTTCGCACGCCATGCACACCATACAGGTATGTCAACCCGTCGTCGCCGAGTCTGGAGCCCCTCAGCTGACGAGCGGAGTAGCAACAATATTGGGCGGTCCGCGAGTACCTCAGCCCCGTACGCGACCGTCGTCTGCGTGATCGCTAGGTGGCCCGACGTGTCTGACCACGCTCTGCAGGTCTTGAAGGAGAGTAAATTCAAGGAGCATGGACGTATAACGCCAGGTGCGTCCCGATCACGTCTACATCTCTCCGCACGCTCATCCCGGACCCGCCTCGCAGAGGAGTTCGTCGCGGCAGGCGACTTCCTCGCATACAAGTTCCCCGTATGGACATGGTGCGTCATTACCTCCTCTTCCGCCCGGTTTCACTCCCGGAACCTATCTACCATGCAGGGAGAAGGGCGACCCGTCGAAGGCGCGCGAGTACCTCCCCGCCGATAAGCAGTACCTCCTCACGCGAGGCGTTCCGTGCCTGCGGCGCGCGACCGCGCTCGCGTACACAGATGCGGACGAAGACGCAGAGCGGCTACTCTCCTTTGGCGACCTCTCCTCGACGGGGAACGAGGCGGACGAGTGGGTCGAGACACACGCAGGGCGTCCGCCCGCCCAAGATTCAGCCGCGCACGCGGGTGTGATCGACGACATCCCAGACGTGGATGACGGCGAGGGTGATGTCTCTGGCGCGCTTGGTGGCCTATCACTGGGCGACAAGGGCGCGACAGAGATCCCGGACATGGACGAGATCCCGGATATGGAGGAGGACGATCTGGAGGCGGGCGACGAGGCGACTGCGGCGCCCAAGACGACCGCTGCGCCATCGAGTGGCGTCATTGCTGCTGAGTAAGTAGTATCGTATGAGGTATGCTGGTGTTTCTGCGGGTGCTCATGCATGACGACTGCAGTGAGGTGGAGGTGGCGAAGGGGAACCTCCTGCAAGTACGGACGTATGATGTTATGATCACATACGACAAGTATTATCAAACTCCCCGCATCTGGCTGATTGGCTATGACGAGGTGCGTTTCAATCCCAACCTTCGTGTACGGCCTGGCTCCCGCCCCACGCATCGCTTGCCCCCGAATCCTGCCCGTCCCTAGCACGACTTTTGGGCTAACCAACTGTGCTGGGCTTCTAGAACGGCACGCCGCTCACGCCACCCCAAATCTTCCAAGACGTCTCGGCAGACCACGCATTCAAGACGGTCACGATCGAGGCGTTCCCTCACTCCTCATCGCTCCAAGCAGCATCCGTGCACCCGTGCAAGCACGCGAGCGTCATGAAGAAGGTCATCGAGCGCATGAACCAGGGCGTAATCGAGGAGCAGCAAGCCGCGCGGAAAGCCGCAGGCGGTTCCCCCACCGCGGCGAAGGACCCGAAACAGAAGAAGTGGCTCTTTCGCCGGGCGAGCGGAAACGGCAAGGACGACAAGCCCTCACCGGGCGAGGAGGACGGCATCGAAGGAATGCGCGTCGACTTCTACCTCGTTGTGTTCCTCAAGTTCATCGCGTCGATTGTGCCCACGATCGAGGTCGACTCGACGACAGCATTCTGAGGTTCGCACCCGCGTCTCCACCTGGTGCCGCTGAGCACAATATGGGCGGCCGAGGGGGTTCACGGGGAGGGAAATTAGAAACAATGGAAGATGATACCTGGGACCATATGCATATCTTGTTTGTGAGAGGTTTTGTACTGTTATGTAAATCACTCAATGTATTACGTTCACGCTGCGCAAGACCTCGGTCAGTACGCGGGTGTCATGTTGTACAAGCCTTTAGCCAAAGCACATAAATGTCAGACGATAATGTACAACACAGGGGTATCAGTCGTCCAGCTTCCACTTGTTCTCTTTCACGAGTTTCTCTCGCTCGAGGAGATATTTACCTTCGGTTATAAACTAGGATGAGTGTCCCCGTGGTAATGTTTGATCGAATTTGCTCACCTTCCTTGTACTTCTGGGTGTGGTCAGAGGCCTTGTGATAATACCATCCCATGCGATCATTGCAGCCCATACAGTAGACATCAGCGACGGTGTGCACACCCGTCCTGTACGGCGACTCATGTCAACGTCGTCAAGTGTACACCAGCCTGAATTGGGTTCTTACAGGAGGGCACGGTCCTCCCGCCTTCCAAGCTTGAGATTCACGGCGGAGTGAATCAGGCTGCTTAATTAGCTTTCAATACGAGTACGGGTGGCCGGGGGCGTGCACGTACTAGCCGCGACCGTCTCGTCCTGAGAACGCTTTGCTGATGAGTTCGTCCTGTAAAGCCTCAACGGCGCAGACAGACGGTAAACACAGGCTGGAGTTGTTAGAAGTGGTACTAGCGTCCTACTATGACTGCAGCGCAATTGGCACACGAGAAGGTGGGATGACCTTGGAACACAGTGATCACCTCGGTCTTCGTGTCGGCCGTGGGTGAGAATTTGGTGGTGCTCGTCATGTTGGATGTCTCCGTGGGGCAAGCCGCCGACTTGTGCCCTGCTGCAGCCCCGGCGGGCGGGATGGTCGATAGACTGGGCCGAAGAAAGCGGAAGCCCCGAGGAGATCACAAGGGGATGCGTGGGGAAATCGTTTATGGTTAGGGTTTCTTCTTGTCAAACGACGTCATAACCATTTTCAACTCGACTTTTGGTACTTCAAATTTCAAAGCTTCAAGGTCGCGTTCAGAGGAGTACAACCAACTTTCGCCAGCGCACGGCGTGGGCTCCATAAGCACATACTGATCCATAGGAAAGCATTGTAGCACAACAGCAAAACACGCCGGATATAAAACGTACTGCGATACATCCCGAGATAGATCACCACCACGATCCAGACAACGGCGGAAACCTCCTACGCCTCCACCGCCGTCGATTTGGACTTGTCTTTCTTCGACTTGTCCTTTTTCTCCTTCTTTGCCTTCTTCTCCTTCTCCTCGCTCTTCGACTCTGCTACAAGTGCGGGCGGGTCGACGTCCTCCGGGGCGACCTCGCTCTTCCGCCGCCCCTCTTTCTTGCTCTTCTTCGACTCCTTCTCCGTTGCTGGTGTCTCCGCCTCCGCGTCGTCCCGCTTGCGCTTGTGCGACTTGCTCGCACTGTCTGCCGCCACCTCTGAAACCTCATCCACGGCCTGCGCTTTCTCCTTGTGCTTCTTGCTCTTTTTCTCTTTTACCGGGCTCTCCGCTGGTTCCGCGGGTGCAGCTGCTGTCGACGCTGCGGGCTCCTCGGCTGTGGATGTGGTCGCCTTTCTCTTCTTGTCCTTCTTGTCCTTTTTCTTGTCCTTGGACTGTTCGGACGACTCCTCAGCGGCAGGAGCCTTTGCAGGTGAGGAAGGTGCAGCATCCTCGGACTCGACGTGCTTCGCCTTTTTCTTCTTAGGCTCCTCGCTACTCTGCGATTCCTGCATCCAGCCATCGTTGGCCTGCGACGTCCGACAAGATCCAAGGGGAACGCACCTTCGCCTCCTCCCCACCCAGCGACTTGCGCTTTTTGTCCTTCTTATCCTTCTTTCCCCCTTTCCCCTTCTTCTCCTCCGTCGCACCGCTGCTCTCCGCCTTCTTCTCCGCTACCGCAGCCGACGGCGACTCGGGTGGGGGAGCTGTCACGGGCGACATCCGCACGGGTGTGCCCAGGGGAGTGCCGTTAGCGCCAGATGCCTCATTGCGCGCGTACCCGCGCCCCCAGCCGCCGCCCTGTCTCCCCCAGGACTGCTGCTGCTGATACCTACCTGCACCACCAGCGTTTCCGTTCGCGCCTCCGTTGCTGTAGCCGTTCTGCTGCCCGCCATTGGCGTTATTGGACCCCCGCGGGCCGCCGCTCTGACCCGTCTAAGGTGCGCATGCAGAGCGTGAGAGACGAGAAAAGAGAGCGCCAGGCGGAGGGACGTACCTTGGGTCCCTTGTAGAGCGCTTTTTGGTACTTTTCCGCCTCGCTGATACACGTCGTGTGGCCCTTGTACTGCGTGGGCCCCTCAAACGTCGTGCTGCAGTCAATGCAGGTGAAGGACGAATGGCACGCCATGCGATGCTTGTCGAGCTTCGGCTTCTTCACGATGTCGCCGCACGCTGCGTAGTTGCGGAACGTCCCACATGCAATGAAGGGCGTTCAAGAGAGCCATGAAGGATATGCAAAGTCAGATATTGTCCTGCGCGCATCATCGCATCGCGAGAGACAGGAGGGGCGAGGATGCTCACCATCGCATCTACAACAACGGGGTTAACGCGACGGCTTTGCTGATTGAAAATAAAAAGACGCACTGGAATGATACCATGTTTTGTTCAAAGCCTGTAGCCTTCGAGCGTGCAGACACAAGAGAGCGTTGGAGGGAAGTCGAGAGCTGAGGGAAAGCAATAGGCGCGCAACCAATGGGCTGCCTTCAAGGGCAAATTTCGGGCACGTGATACATCCCCGCACTTTCGCGATCGAGTCGGTGGCGGTGAGTTACTGAGTAGCTTTCGGGTACGTTCAAACCTTGCGGGCGAGGACGACCTTAGGCTTTAGTAGGTCATACAGAGTAAGACGTAGATAGCGTTCGCTTGCCTATGATAGAGTACACAAATACAATCGAGGGTAACATATTTTCCCAGAGCACATCACCACGTCCCAACCGCATCTTACTTGGACGCGCCCTTGAGCTTCTCCTGCACGAGCTGCTGGAACTCCTCCCGCAAGATCGCCTCCCGGCGCTCGCGCTCCTCCTGC